CTGCTGCTGCAGCAGCAGCGCGAGCGGCTCGAGCAGCAGCAGGCGCTGCTGCAGCAGCAGCTGCAGCAGCAAGCTGCTGCTGCTGCAGCAGCCAGCCGCTGCTGCTGCTGCTGCGGCGGAGTCCTCGAAAGAAGCAAACACTGCCGCTCCTGCAACAAATGCGTGGATGTCTTTGACCACCACTGTGTCTGGATCAACAACTGCGTCGGCAAGGCCAACTACAGGCAAAACTGCTGCTGCTGCTGCTGCTGCTGCTGCTGCTGCTGCTGCGCTGCTGCTGCTGCTGCTGCTGCTGCTGGGGTCGTTTTTGTTGCTGCTGTTTTGGTGGCGCTGCTGTTTTGGTCTTGTTGTTTTTTTGCTGCTTTTGTTGCTCGTGTTGTTTTTGTTGCTTTTGCTTCTGGTGTTTTTGCTGCTGCTGCTGCTGCGCTGCTGCTGCTGCTGCGCTGCTGCTGCTGCTGCGCTGCTGCTGCTGCTGCTGTTGCTGTTGTCCTTGGTTTTGTCGATGTTCCTGCTGCTGCTCGTGGCTTGCTGTTGCTGCGCACGGTTTGCTGCTGCTGATGGTTTCCTGCTGCTCTTTTGCTGCTGCTGTAGCTGGTGGGCGTCTGCTGCTGCTGCTGCTGCTGCTGCGGCTGCTGCTGCTGCGGCTGCTCCTCGTGCGGGCGTTATCTTTTTTGCTGCTGGTTGCTTTTGCGAGGAGCTTGTTGCTGCTGCTGCTGCCGTTGCTGTTTATGCTGCTGCTGTATTTGCTGCTGCTGCTGGCGCTGCAGCGGATAAATCATCAATGAGCACATTGCTGCTGCTGCTGCTGCTGCTGCTGCTGCTGCTGCAGGGCGTTTGTGGGCATGTTGTTTGCTGCTGCTGCAACTGTGCTGCTGCTGGTGGCGATGCCTCTTTACCAAATTATTGCTGAAGCTGTCAGCGGCAGCTGCCGAGAAAACTGGAAGCAAGTGAGCTGCTGCAGCACACACACACAGCTAGCTAGCTAGCTAGCTAGCTAGCCGGCTAGCTGGCTAGCTAGTTAGCTAGCTGGCTAGCTAGCTAGCTAGCTAGCCGGCTAGCTAGTGAGCTGGCTGGCTAGCTGGCTAGCTGGCTAGCTAGCCAGCGAATTAAGCTGGATAGTGAGCAGCGTGAATAGCTATCTAGCTGGCTAGCTGTTTAGGCAGCTAGCCAACTAGCTAGCTAGCTAGCTGGCTAGCTGCTGCTGTTCTCCGTGAAGTTGATTTATATATTTGTCCATTTTTAAAATGTTTGCTGCACTGTTTATTTGGCAGCAAAAGAATTGGCTTCCTCTTTTGTGCCGGACTTGAAGTGCTCCGCCGCTGCGCCTGTTGCTGCTGCTGCTGCAGCAGCAGCAGCAGCAGCTGCTGCTGCTGCATGTGTGTCTTTGCTGCGGCTTTTATTCAATTGAAGCAAACAAATTGCATTAAATTAAACTAATTAACTTAGTCGAATTAATTAAATTAATTGATTGACTTGCTGCAAACGCTGGTAGCTGCGTGTGCTGCTGCTGCTGCTGCTGCTGCTGCTGCTGCTGCTGCTGCTGCTGCTGCTGCTGCTGCTGCTGCTGGCTTAGGTCTATGGGGGCTACAATGCTGTGGTGTTTTATTTTGCTGCTGCTGTTCCAATTGCTTTAAATGCCCCCGTTTTGGGCCTCGTGCTGCAGCTGCTGCTGCTGCACCTTTATTTGCTGCGGCACCACATGACTACTTTCGACTACATCACCATGCGCGTCGAGGAGGAGGTTAGCTGCTGCTGCTGCTGCTGCTGCTGCTGCTGCTGCTGCTGCTGCTCTCGCTGCTGCTGCTGCTGCTGCTCCGGCTGCTGCTGATGATCTAGGGCCACAGCTGGTCGCGATCTGCTGCAGCAGCAGCTGCTGCTGCTGCTGCTGCTGCTGTTTTCGCTGCTGGCGAAGAAGTGCTGCTGTTTGCTTCTCCCTTTGCCTCTCCCCTTGCTGCTGCTGCTGCTGCTTCTTTTGCTGTCGCTCTTGCTGCTGCTGCTGCTGCTCCTTTCAATGTCGCTCTTGCTGCTGCTGCTGCTGCTCCTTTCACTGTCGCTCTTGCTGCTGCTGCTGCTCCTTTCACTGTCGCTCTTGCTGCTGCTGCTACTGCTTTTTCTGTTTCTGCCGCTTTTGCTTTTGCTGCTGCTGCCGCTTTTTGTTTTGCTTTCGTTGCTGCTGCTGTTTCTTTTGCTGCTGCTGCTGCTGCTGGCTCCCTTACCGTTGCTGCTTCGCGTTTTCTTCCGCTGCTGCTGCTGCTAAAGTTGTACGGAACAAGGGAGCCTGCTGCTGTTGCTGCTGCTGCTGCTGCTGCTGCTGCTGCTGCTGCTGCTGCTGCTTGCTGCTGCTCCCAGGTCGAACGAAGAAGCCCCTCAACAAAACACCGGCCCTGCGTGGAGTGGATTGTCATAGACAAGAAGTACAAACCCTAAACCCTAAACCCTAAACCCTAAACCCTAAGGGTTTTCTAGTAAAAATGCATTCATATGCATAAACTGTTCAAGGGTTTATTATTATTATTGTTTATTATTATTGTTATTATTTATTGTTGTTTTTTATTATTATTCTTCATTATTTATCATTGTTACTATTATCATTATTATTGTTTTTAATTATTCTTAGCAGCAGCAGCAGCAGCAGCAGCAGCAGCAGCAGCGTTAGTGCTGCACAAATGAAGATCCCGAGGATTTTTGCGACCGCCTTTATTTGCTGCTGCAGCTGAAGTGTTTTTTCCATTTTTCATTTTCTAAGTTATATTTATTTGATTTGATTTTAATTGTTTTTCATTATTTTGCTTTTTGCTGCTGCTGCTGCTGCTGCTGCTGCTGCTGCTGCTGCTCAGGCGACTGCGCCGGGCGCGCCGCAAAGGGAGGGGTGCTGCTGCTGACGTCAGCCAGTGCGGCTCTGTTCAGCAGGTTTGCTGCTGCTGCTGCTGCTGCTGTTCTTGTTGCTGCTGCTCTCGTTGCTGCTGCTGCTGCTGCTGCTGCTGTTCTTGTTGCTGCTGTTCTTGTTGCTGCTGCTGCTGCTCTTGTTGCTGCTGCTGCTCCTCTGCATTTTCCTCTCCATTTTTTATTTGCTTCCTACTCCCCTCCTACGCGTTTTGCTGCTGCAGCTGCAGCAGCAGCAGCAGCAGCAGCAGCAGCAGCAGAGAAGCGACAGGCTTGCTGGCCGTTCTTTGCCCTTCTCTGCATGCGTTTCTGCTATCTGATTTACTTGTTAATGAATTTATTTATTTATTTATTTATTTATTTATTTATTTTATTTTTATTTATTTAATTTGTTTTATTATCTTTTTAATCTTTTTTATTTGCTGCTGCTTGTCTTGTGTCTCTGTGGTGCAGCTGTCTTCTGTTGAGTTGCTGACGCCCAAAGCAAACGAGCAGCAAGAGGTGATCTTTTGCTGCTGCTGTTGCTGCTGCTGCTGCTGTAGTTTTTGCTGCTGCTGCTGCTGCAGTTTTTGCTGCTGCTGCTGCTGCAGTTGTTGCTGCTGCAGCTGCTGCTGCAGCTGCTGCTGCTGCAGCTGACTGAGTCTCTGTGTTCTTTTTTTGCAGGCTTTAAAAACGAATGACCAGCCAATCGACACCAACGAGCAGCAGCAGCAGCAGCAGCAGCAGCAGCAGCAGCAGCAAGGTGAACCTAGGGAAGCAGCAGTGCATGCAGTGTAGTTTAGAAGAGCAAGCATTTTGGCGCGTCAGCAGCAGCTGCTGCTGCTGCTGCTGTAGCAGCTGCAGCAGCTGCTGCTGCAGCTCCACCAGCAGGTTTTGCTGTTGCTGCTGCACTTGATGCAGCAGCTCTTGCTGCTTCTGCAGAAGCAGGCGCTGCTGTTTCAGCTGTTTCTTGCAGCAATTGTCACTTAAACAGCAGCAGCAGCAGCAGCAGCAGCAGCAGCAGCAGCAGCAGCAGCAGCAGCGGCGAGTGTCGCTGCCACCTTGTTTTCATATGTCTTTGTTACTTTCTTGACAGATTTTTGAAGTTTGGTTTGGCTGCAAGCTGGCGATCTGCTGCTGCTGCTGCTGCTGCTGTTGCTGCTGCTGCGGCTGTTGCTGCTGTTGCTGCTGCTGCGGCTGTTGCTGCTGTTGCTGCTGCTGCTGCTGCGGCTGTTGCTGCTGTTGCTGCTGCTGCGGCTGTTGCTGCTGCTGCTGCTGCTGCTGCTGCGGCTGTTGCTGCTGCTGCTGCACTCCCTCCCTAATCATAAAATAAATATTTAATTGTTGGCCGATGCAGCTCCAGAAAAGAAATAAAAAGTAATTGAATCAAAAATTAAAGAAATAAAATAAATAATTAAATAATTAAAAGTAATTAATTAAATAATAATCAAATAATCAAAGTTAGCCAGACAGCAGCAAATCTCCAAAGCATTTCTTTTAAAAATAAAAATGGAAATTTAAATAATTTGCAAAGTTCATAAAATGGATATTTATTTTTGAATTATTAATTGCATTTGTTTTGTTTGTAAACAAGTAAATATTATTTATTTGTTTATAAACAAATAAACGTCTTTGTTTAAATCATTTTAAAAGAACATTTTTGCAAATATTCTTTTAAAATGATTTAAATGAACTTTAAATGAAATTAAATTCGAAAACGATTTATAACAACGAGCAGAGAGCTGTACATACACCCGGGAGTTCCGCCAGTGGTCACTCTGGCGTTTTGTTTCTTTTTTCTTCTTTTTGCCACTTAAATGAAAAATTAAAAGTTTAAAATTAATTAAATTTAATTTTTAAAACAATTTAAAATGTTTATTTCACTTTTAGAAAGAATTTCCAGCCAAAAGAAACTTCTTTCCCGCCAGCGCTGGCCTGCCGGGGCAAGACAGCCTGGGGGGAAAGGAGAAATAAAAGAAATATAAATAATAAAATTAAAATAA